CTTCAAGTTTCTTCTTTATCTGTGAGGAAATTACCCCGCTCTCCCTGCCATATAGTTGAGATTTCACATCGTAGTTCACCACTGTTTTCTTTGTTTCTAAAGATGTCTTAATTTTTGGCTTAGTTTCTCGAAGGCCACTTTCACTGTTGCTTTGTACCTTCATAGTTGTGTGTCATATTTGTGTGTTATAACATTAACTAAATAGTTTATAGTTGCGTGGGGCTTAGGAGTTAAAATGAAGGGTTGATTTACCCACGCCAAGAAGATTAATGAAGGCTGATAGTAACGAGGAAATATACTGGTGATTTTAACAAAACAAGATGTGAAATTTATTTACGAATGTACACGCTTGAAGTTATGATAACATCTCGTTTCAGCAAAATAAATCAGAAATGTTGAAATCCGTAGTTTTAACGAATTGTCATGAAGAAAAAATGTTCATGTAACAGATTAAATGATCTGACACAAAATAATATCCATAAATATTTAAAACGACGGTTCGTTGCTCACAAAAGGGATTACATGGCTTGCGTACGTTCAGATGTAGACGAAAAGAGATAGTTCGAAATACTTAGCTTTCTTTGATTGTTGAGATGAATTTATTTGAAGTGCCCCCTTCTTGGTTAAAGGCCGATAATATAATTGGCGAGTAATTTTACACTGGTGAAAACTTCAACGCTGGTTACTGATCGCGAGGAGCTGAAACGAAACCTTTCACATGATTCCTCCGAGACACTTTTATCTTATTATTTCAATTTTTCTACTAATTTTATATCGAAAGGAATTTCACATATGCTAACGACTTTATTTTCTTTCTTCTTCTTGACTCAACGGCTAATTTCTGTAAAGACAAGGTTTTCATTGGTCCAAAAGCAATTTCACATAAGCTCGCGAATTTATTTCCTTTTCTTCTCGGCTCGCCGGCTAATATCCGTCAAGGCAAGATTTTCATTTGCATAAAGAGAGTCCTTTCTTCTTATTTTGCAGTTACTCTTTTCTCTACAAGTTCTTTGCCCTTCCTTTCTAAGTTTGCACTCAACGTTATCATTCATATATCGTATGCTATTAAGATTCTGTCTGTTGATAATAAATCCCGACAGGACTTTTAATTCTCTTACGACCATCTCGCTGTATCGGTTTGATAAAGCTAGTTAAAGAAAATCATCCTTATCCTTTTCTTCCTACCGCATACAGACTGTTTTTCCCAGTAAACGTTACTGATTGATATTTTCCGACAAATGACATGTCAAGCTCCAAGAGTGTGTGGTGCATATGTAGCCAATGTAAGCATTTAGTATTGTTACTGATAACTCTATCAAAGTACACAGAAAATAAATGAGTTCCGGCAATAGTCTGTAATTTTGCTTAAAATCAGAAGTTGATTTTCGACATTTCCTTGAGGTGAGGGTTGTTTAATATTTTATTATTTTCTAGTAATATTTTCTCTCGTGCCACTAGATGCATTTTGGTTTGTTTCTGATGTGATAATCGTTATGTTTCGACAAGTGACAGGTTAAGCTAAAAGTGTGCGTGGTGCATATGTAGCCAATGTAAGCATTTAGTGTTGTTTTTTGATCAACAGTATTGAAGATGCGATCACTCAAAGGACACAAGAATTCAATTAACAACATTATTCTTATATAGGGGGGGGTTTGAGATCCGGACTTACTAATAATAATTAGGTTACAGATTTTGGATATTTTATATTACAGATAAGACATTTTTTGTGATCGTTAAGTGATATGTAACGGTGAAATATATTTTGATATCTATTTCATACTGTTTATAATTACGGAGCAGTGTATAGCGGCTAGGATTGAGAGCTAAGTTCAAATTCCAGTAGGGTTCATTGCATTCACTAACGTAATAATACACTCGGAAAAGTGATGAATCCATCTTTCCTTGGCTATGCGTAACTAGTAGGACAAACTAGACTTAAAGCCTTGGTTGGTAACCAGTCTAGAAGAAGAAAAATCTAAATTCCAACCAGCTGATGCCTTGTTGATCTTGACTCTTTATGCAAATTCTGCAAGAAGGGAACTTCACCAACACATCCAACTCTGGTGTCGTCTCAAAGAAAGGACATGTCGCTTTACTTCGAGTCACAACAGAAAATAATGGATTCTTCTGGTTCGAAAAAGCACAAGAATGGAACGCGCCTGATTTCGGACCATTCAACCATACAGAACTTTCGACGACGACTACTTATATGTACGGATTTGAGCCATTCTCTGTCAAACAAATTTGCCGACGTGCAAATTCTTAGTCGGATTTTTACAAGTGTTCCCTATGTATACACACTTTAGGATAGTGTGATCCGATCCCGGAGAAGTATAATATATGATGTTTTGTCTTGGTTCGAAGGGCCAGTATTCCTGAGCTAGACAGTAGAGACGGGCTTCTGTCTTCTGGCTCAAAATAGATTGTGCGATATGATCACCTCGTGATCAAGTGTCTCGCCTCTGCCGGCCAAACTCCCACGGGGTTGAGTGTGGAAAGCGAATGTTTCGGCGCTCTAACCGAATCACTGCTCGGATAGCTGACAGACTCCAACCCAATCAGGCTGGTTTGAATCTAAGTTTCCTTCTCCTAGACTGTTTGCCATACAAGTGGGGAAGAGAGGTGAATTCATAGCTTTCCCATGTATTAACAGGTAATGAATGTAACTCGACTGGAATTCGAACTCGGCTCTTCATCCAAGCCGTTAAGCATTACTGCACTGTCTTCCATATTCCTGTTTATAATTAGGTGCATCACGTTACGATATATTGAATTAAATAGTCTTATTTTATATCAGGATAATTGCTTGCGTGACCTTTTCGTAAATGTCATTAATGTTAATTTTGTCTGTCCATCTGACTGGATAATTGCAGACTCGGGTATCAACACGACCCATATTTTAGCTTTTGTGTAAATGTCTAGTTTTTTTTTCTTTTTAAATCAGAACTGTTACAAATAGTAGAAATCACATCAATCGAGGATTTTCAACAACTAAAATTTATAGCACATGTAATTCGATGAGAAGGAAATGATAAAATCAAGATATTGGCGTTCCACACGACTTCAAGCAAAAGGTTAGGAAGTAAACTCCTATCAATACTGGATAACAGAACTTGAGTAACCGATTTTCCCTGAATTTTTTTTAAAGAGAAATATTTTAGAAATTTCAACCGACAGTATTAATCACTGCTCGATCAATGAATGCCAAATTTTCCAGAAAACAGCTAACCATTACCATTACTTGTACTTGTTCTTGCATTCACCCGGGATTGGTTGAGCCGGCTCCGTCAAATGAATCTGCCGTATTTCGAATTTGGACGTGCAAATACTTAATAGGAGTTTCAGTAGGAATTTGGATTCACATTCAGTCCCCAGCCGCATGTATATGTACTTTAGGAGAGAGCGATCCGAGCAGTGATTAGGTTAGAGCCCCGAAACATTCGTTTTCCACATCCATCACAATGGGAATTTGGCCGACATAGCTGATCATGTCGCACAGCCTATTTTGAGCCACTTTGTAGGCCAGCAGGAGCTTGTCTCCACTGTCCAGCTCAGAAATACCCGCCCTTCGAACCAAGCCAGAACAACATGGTATATGCATTTATGACCAATCCTCACTTTTCAGCCTCGACAGAGATCAAAAGTTGTTACGCGGCCTTGTAGGTGTTGAATTATTTTTCACCTTTCAATCACTATTTATCAGATGCAAGGTCACAACCTTAGGTTAAGAAGAACCCTCCCTCCATCAATTTATGATCTTATTAATTGGCGGAGCTCTACTTGCAATCCATTAATGTCCACCGCCCTCCGAATGGGGTAAATATCTACTCGCCGCTTTTATGATCTCAGAAAAGCGTGTTGGTCATATAGAGGAATTGTCTTTTTTTATTGAATCTCCACAAAGATAATATTAATTATTAATAAGACGATAAATAAATTTTATATTAAGTGTATGCGAAAGTTCCCAGACCTCTTTAGTTTATGAATACATAGTAGAAAAAATAACGCTGGATTTTTTTGCAAATACGTAATAGATAAATAAACGGGGTGTGCAGGCGGCGAAACGATTTAAACACCCAATGTGTACTCGGGGAGTCAAGTTCAAATTCACTTCTCGCCTGTTGCCTTTACTTCTAGGAAATGTACAAATCCATCTTTTCTCATCTACCCCCACGTAAAGGTTAAATAGTAGTGAAGAAAAGGTAAAATCTGAATTACAAACCGCGGAGAATCGATCCACTGTCATTTCCAATACGCATGGCAATAGACAGATGATAAAAAGGAATCTGTGGAGAACCACGATCGTTTACGCCTTAAAGAGAAAAACAATTAAAAAATAAACGAATCGTAACATAATTGCGATAATAACTAAATACATGAAACCTGGGACTTTAAACCTCTCAGTGATTACTAGTCCTTCTTCATCGTCTTTTTTTATGTACTATGTCTTTTTAGGATTTGGCTGAACATGACTCTTCAAAACTTCCTATCTTTTGCAACATTTAACAATGTTTGTCCTATTGCTATCCCTCTGAGACCATCTTATTTACACAAGCCTGCCCGCTGTTTCTCTATGTCACTCTTTAAATATATCTTGTGAGTGTCAAATTTTCCAAGCCGTCTTTCCTCAATATGTGCCCCAGAAATTGTAGTTATCACTTTCTGATTCTGAGTATCCTATCCGTTTTTTGTAAAATCTCCTGGATATTCACTTTTGACCATGGTATTCTCAGCATCATTTTGTTGAACTAATTCCCAGTTGTTTCTTTATTCTATGAGGAAATGATATAGCCCTCACTGCCATATAGGAGCATTGACATCACATAACAGTTCTTACCTTTGTTTCCAACGAAATTTTCCTGTTTCTTAATATTTGCTTAGATTCAGGAAGCCATTTTTCAGGACAATTTTAATTTTTATCCATTAAAAAATTAAAAGATAAAAACACCAAAGAAAGCCAGTTGCAGACAAAATTATTTTATCTAACTCAATTTGTTCTCGTTGAAACACCGGTTCTCGTCCGATCACCGAAGTTAAGCAACGTTGTGTCTAGTCAGTACCTAGATGGGTGGCCGCTTAGGAATACCAGGCCCTGTAAGATTGAATGTGCAGGTGGTATAAATAGATAATGGATCGGAATTGTTAATCGGAGTCCCGAGTTCCAATTCCCGTTGGATTCGTTATATTCACTTACGGGCAAATACCCTTGGCAAAGGCAAGAGTTAATCTTTTCTCCCCCAACTATGGGTTAATTAGTAAAACATGTATTATTACTCAAAATCAGATTCGTACAATTTAAAAAATATATTTGCTGACTTTAAATATTCTGCAAAGGGTTGATAACCAATAAAAAACGAATCAATCAATCAAAAAGTACATTCTGATCGTTGATTTCGCGTAGATCTTCCTGTCTCTTCAGATGTTTCTCACTTTTGCGATGGCTGTCATTGTTTTTGCTATCAAACTGGTTTCTTTCTATTATTATTATTATAATTATTATTATTATTATTATTTTCTTTGATTTCTGGCGTTTACACATTTCTTTCCGGGTCCCGCCCAGGGACCTAAGTTTAGAAATGGCGTCATGACACTTTCCACTGACAGAAAATAAAAAGAATTAAATTACATAGATAAAGCCCTTCGTAAGGTGTGGGCTGTACTTGTCAGAACAATTTTTTGTATCTCCTTGAGGCATGGACTTCCAGGAATCCCTTCAATTAGTCTACTGCAATCTTTTCCAACCAGTCCTAAGGCTCCAACTACAACAGGGATTGTTGATGTTCCCATATGCCACATTTTCGAGATTTCTATTTCAAGGTCCTTGTACTTTGACAACTTTTTGAATATCTTCAAAGATACATTGCAGTCAGCAGGGACTGCCATATCAATAAGGAGGCATCGTTTTTGTTTGTGGTCTTTAATAACAATATCTGGCCGGTTGGCCTTGATTGTTCTGTCAGTGTGTATTGTGTAGTCCCATAGAATTGTAACAGGTCCTATCTCCGTAACCGGGTCTGGGTGGTGTTCATACCAGTTTTTTTCAGTTTCCTTCCCGTAGAAGTTGCAGATTTTCCAGTGCAGATATTGGCCCACTCTGTCATGTCGGGTTTTATATTCAGTGGGTGCCAACACCGTACAACCTGATACAAGATGATCAATCGTTTCTGGATATTTATCACAGAATCTGCATTTTGGGCTGACACAATATTTTAGTATATGTGCTTGATAATTCCTAGTTAGCAAGCATTGGTCCTGCGCAGCAAGGATAAAACCTTCAGTTTCCGCTTTCAACCCTGCACTACGTAGCCACTGATGGGTACGGATTTTGTCTACGTCAGCTTGTTTGGTACGGGCAGAGTATTGGCCATGAAGCGGTTTATCTTGTCATCGCTTCTGTAGCTTGTCGGTTGCATTCGTCTTTGCTGTCTTTTTTAGGTATTTTGCAGTTTCAGCCGGTGTATTGTGCTGTAGTTGCATCACTACGCCCATTTGAAACTCCATGTTGATTATTATTATTATTATTATTATTATTATTATTATTATTATCATCTGTGAATTGCTCTGCCTTCCTGGGGAAAAAGGTTGATTTGTTTCTCGTTAAACAATTATTATCTCAAAGAAAAACTTACAATCGAAATAAAAAAATTCTCGCATTAAATTACTTGAAAAGGGCTGATAAACCGTAGAAAATGAATGAATGAATCATATATATATATATATATATATATATATATATATATATATATAAGTATAGGATTGGTGTATACCGAATAATTCCAATAGCCAAAAAATACTATTCTTAAAAGTGCTCAATACAGAGTAGAGCAAATATAATTATTCATTCGAAAATTATAACATAAATGTGTTATAAAATCACTAAAAAATAGCCATTTTGTTTCAACACTTCTTTTGTCAAGTGATGGTGTTGAATGTAGAATCTAAATTCAACACCATCACTTAATAAGACACCAGAAGTGTTGAAACAAAATGGCTATTTTGTAGTGATTTTAGAACATATTTATGTTATAATTTTTGAATAAATAATTATATATATATGCGTGTAGTTGCGTGTATATATATATACACATATATATATATATATATATATATATATGTATATATATATATATATATATATATAGGTATCTGTGCGTATACATATATATTTGTAAATATATATATATGTGTGTGTGTGTGTGTATAAGGCTGTGCCTCTCTATGTGTGTGTGTGTGTGTGTGTGTGTGTGTGTGTGTGTGTGTGTGTGTGTGTGTGTGTGTGTGAAATATATTAGAAATCTGTAATGCTACAGAGGATAAAACTATTAGGCTGAAGATATTGAGAAAACGAACGAAGCTGCAGGCGCGCTGAACTTGGAGAAATCGGTTTGATTAATTAACTTGGTCCAAGACAAAGAATTTGCAATCTTTATCAGCTAGACGACGGCGTAATTCTTCAATACAATTCCGTTGCTCAGGACATCAAAGCTTTCCTTCGGCTTCTTCATTTCTCAGCTCGATCTAACGCGGAACTATTATTTGGAGACGCAAAACTTTACAGCGCAGACGGACGCCGCCTAAACTTAGCTAAAATGATTAGCTTTGACCATTACATTATACGCGTCGGAATTAACACGTTGTTGAAAGCCAATAAGGAATCTGCTTTAGCCCGGAAATCAATTATAGGTCTTCATTTTGGCTGGGTTCTTTGGCTGCTGCCTTGATATTCTCTGGATTCTTCTGTAAACTCTAAGTATGTTAAACTGCTTCTCTTTCAACGGAATTCATTTCTTTGAACGTCTATTGGAACTCAGGTTCAGTATCGACCTCAAATGGAACCCACATATACAATCCATTGCTAGAGATTCTGTAAAATAGTCGATTCAATATACTGTTCCAGAAAGTACTCGGTTCCTGTCATTTTTTAGCACTATAAGTAAGATCAGACGACAAATTCGATATTTCTGCCAATTTTAAGCTGAGAACACGCAATCATGACTATCCAACTTTGACAAATCCTTGTGGAAGTTGATATATTTTCTACCCATCAACCTTCTTGGTTTCTATTTATAATCAGTTAGCATGTTAGTTTGGTTTGTTTTGTTCTACGGCATATCAGCCTCAGTGGGTTATTTAATGCCGACAAGATTTTTATTGCTGGTAATGTTTTTTTCCAAAAATGTATTGATGGTAATATTTTTTCAAAAATGTATTGCTGGTAATAATTTTTCCAAAAATGTTTTGCTGGTATTATAACCTATTTTTATACTTTCCTAGTGTTTTGACCCCTTTCGAGGGGTTAACTCTTTTCCCATAGCTGGGACTCTGAACCTGGAAACACCAGTAATTGAGAAGTAGTTCCACGTTCCTCAAAACCTCCTGATCAGAAGCCTTGCTGTCGGATGTAGTTTATGCGTATCCAAATGTAAACAAATGAACAGATATGAATGTACGTGAGAGTATCATGGAAGATTGTAGTTTAAAAGCAATAAAATCGACATTGCTAACCGAACCAAACGATCCTCTGTGGCCTAATCGGTTAAGGCACGTCAGGCTATATGACGGTTCCGTATAGGATATAGGTTCGATTCCTGTCGGAGCACGAATATTGTCTATGAAAATTTCTCAGGCACTCAGGCCATCTTGAAGGCATTTTTTTTATTCAAGGACACGTGGCCGTCGAGGGAACTATCCGCTTTGGCTGTTGACTTCAATCTAGGACAGCCTCCACCAAGTGGCACCGTGTCATCACGGCAATAGCAGTTTACCCCGTTGAGCTGAAGCAACTTCTTTAAATCTCACAACACACTGGAACCTACTTCCGCGGCACAATTAGATTATGATTATCAAAAAACAGAATAAAAAATAGTATGCTTTTTTTTACGATTTATTTATTAATAAAAAAAAACAATTTATTAAAATTTATAATAAAAACATAATTAAAAAATTTTTTTTAAATTTATTTTTCGGTTCATTATAATTAAATATTAATGAGATATCTGTGCATGAAGTTATTTTTAGAATATCTTCTTTGCAAAGCCGAATGTTGGACAACATATGATTAAATCTTCTCTCAAAAATTCTAGCCATGATCGATTTTTGTTTTTAATATTCTTTATTTGAGAGAAGCTTGCTTTTCATATTATTTTATATATTATTACGTATATGTTTATTTAGTATAATAATGATATACTTGTATCATCAATTTAAAGAGGGTTTAATTTTAATGTCCATTTATTGGGCTTTGGACTTTTTCGAAAATAATTTAATTAATAAACTTTAAAAAATTTCTCGGCACATCTACGATCCTCTCACAGAAAACCAATGAGTCGTAGCACACCAGAAGTGTTATATTGACCTTTCATGTTTTCTTCTTCTTTTTCTTCTCCTTCTTCTTCTTCTTCTTGGATGTGCGTGTTAATAACGATTCCGTTTAAATCAACAACCTAATGGGTGAGAGCTTACCATTAGTACGACCCACAAAGCACACCTTACAGTATAAAGATCAGCAGAAGAAATAAATCAGTTATTCTTCTTCTATGTGCTTTGTCCCTTCAGGACATCATTGGCGATCATGGCTCTCCACAATTGTATGTCCTTTGTAGCTCTTTATAAATTTTGTCAATTTGTTATCATGCCAAGACTATGGATTTTTTTTTTTTTTTTAACATACAACGTGTGTTAACAGGTGCGATACCCTGTCTTCATCAGCCGCCGACCAGGGGTAATCTCACGGCGGCTGATGAAGACATTGGATTATATAATATATGTTATTTATTGTCATTCATATACAGTGTGACTAAACATCTGATTAGACAACCGTTGGAGATTCCCTCCCACACACCAAGCCATCTGCGCACGGTTGAAAGAAAGGCGAATTTTTACGTACTTATAAACACACCAATGACTGAGAGAGCTCAATTCAGGGAAGAGGAAGGGCCTTGTAATATTAGTAGTAATAGACTGTTTACAAATTCGCACTTATCTTTCAAGAGTGCACAACCAAATTTAAGTTTTTCGGGTATGTATATATTGTCATCCACAGTGAGATTGTTTCGCTGTTTCATAACTCATCATGCGGCTAGACATCCGATTGCT